AGCAGGGAAGAAAGGGAGGAAGGGGACTTAGGTAGAGGCGGTGAGCCATTGCTGTCTTTCCCACTCAGCTGGCCAGGTCCTTGAGTTCAGATGCCCGCGTGTCTGTTTCAGAGATGGCGGGTGTGAGGTAGGGCCCCTTACTCTGTGCCCTCCCTCTTAGCAACGTCTCCTCTTAGAACTCTGGGGAAATGTCCTCCCCCTGAACAGAGAGCTCTGGGACTTGGCCCCATAAGCATCATTTGCCCAGGCTGCCGCAGCTCCCCTGGGATTCTCCCCACAGGCTAAGCTTCCTTGTGTGGGTAACAATCCAGGCAGCCACAGGTGGAGCTCCAGTCACGGAAGCCAGCTGTCCTTCGTGGGCTCAGTACTTTTTCTCCCTCCCTTCCTCCTCTCCTATTCTCTCTTCTCTCTTTTGTGACACAGGGTTTCTCTGTGGAGCCATGGTTGTCCTAGAACTCACTCTGTAGACCAGGCTGACCTCAAACTCACAGAGATCTGCCTGCCTCTGCATTCCAGTGCTGGGTTCAAAGGTGTACATCACTGTGTTCAGAGAAATGTTTCTAAAAGTACACACACACACACTCATCAATCAAGGGCTGTAAAGTTTGCTCATGAATTCACAAAGGCAGACATTACATGATATACTTGCTAGGTTTGTGTGAGTGTTCATATCTTCATGGCCGACTCCTGACTATGCCTTCTAGCAAACTCGGCAGTCACAGCTCATCTTGTGTGAGTGTCTGTGTGTTGTGAGTGTAAATGTGTGCATGTGTGATTGTACTGGGGGTTGAACCTGAGACTTCAATGATAGGCAAGTGCTGTATCACTGGGGTGTGTCTCCAGCTTTTTATTTGTATTTTGAGACAGGTCTTGCTAAGATTCCCAGGCAGGCCTTGAAATTGTGATTTTTCTGCCACAGCCTAAAGTATCTGGAATTACCTCCTGCACCAGCAGACCCAGCTGAGCCTCGTCCCTGTAGGAATAGTCGAGACAACTGAAGTCACTTGCTGACGTTTCAGACACTGGGTGGGACTCAGCCAGCCAGTTCTCCCTGGCCCCTCACTCCATTGCTGCCTGGGCTTTGGACCTGCTCCTACACAGCCAGATGTTTCCTATGCCTCTTATCTGCTGAGGTTTGGCCAAGTCCACAGTGCCAGCAGGTACCTTTGCCATTACCCTGGGGGTCCCCCAAGGTGCTGATCATCACCTCTCCGCTGGCCAGGCAGTGGCTGGTGTGCAGATTGCCCACGTTGCACTTGGAGTGGATTTCACTGGGTTCAATGACCTGGAGAAGGTGGGGAGTGGGGTCTGACTTTACAGAGGCAGGAGTCTCCACCCCCGCCTCCCATTCTCCCTGCTTTGTCTGTGGACCCTGTCATCTTTTCCTCTCCCTGAGGGAAGACAGCAGGGATTCAATCTGGTAACTCAGAGAGCAGCAACAGAAAGGCAGGGAAGCCATCACTAAATCCTCAGTCAGAGCATCAACCTTCCCCATCTCTCTTGAAGGCACTCCCAGCACCTGGGGCCCCTCCCGTGCCACTGTTGGCTCTGCATCCTCAGCAGCCAGCTGTGAGCATCTGGTGCAGAGGGTGTGTCCAATGCAGTGTTGAGAGGAAGGCCTGGAATTCCTGCCTGAGGAAGCCATGAGCTCCTGGCTGGGTGGGGGAAGACAGGTCTCTCCTCCCCCTCAAGAAGGAGCCTCGTCTTCTGACACCCAGGCCACACTGCTGGACGGTGCCTGCCCAGCAGGCTCAGGTAACTTCTGAGGTCTCCCCTCCCTGCTGCTGAGCCAGACCCTGTATAAGAGCTGGAGGCAGCTGTCCAGAGACTGTTGGGCCAGTAGGTACAAGGGTCTCCAGCCACAAGGACAGAGGACTTGCCTTGTGCAACTTCGGGGCGCGAGGGTCAGAGCCCACGTCCACCACGTAGAGGCGGGAGGAGATGAGACTGGGTAGCATGAGCTTGGTGCGCGCCTTGGTGCTGTCCCCAAAGCAGCTACTGCAAGTGTTCCATCCCGAGTGGTGCAGCTCATCCTTCAGGTAGGGCATGGGCAGCCTGTGGATGACCTGGGTGCAGAGGGGCAGGAAGGGCTGCTTACCCAGGCCAGGCCTCTCTAGATTCCCTTTGGGCTTGGAGCCCAGCACAGGCCGGGTTCCAGCTCAGCACCCTGGGCAGTGAAGAGCTTCCAATGCCATTCATTCCAGGGAGGACAAAGAAGGATGGAGTTAGGGAACCAGAGCTGTGCTGGGAGTCTTAAGGGAGCCAGTGACCATACCTCACCTCACCTGACTATAATGGGGAGACTTTGGGTCAACATCCACAGTGGCCAAATAATCTGGGGCCTCAATGCCTGTGTTTCGGTAAATACAGGGCAGGTAGACAATCTCCTCCCGGGGTCCTGGGGAGTAGAGAGTGGGTTATGGTAATGAGCTGGGCAGAAGCAGCCCAGGTGAGCTAGAGGGCTAAGGCTAGGCCTGAAGTCCTCAACTCTACCATTGGGTCGGCAGAAGATGCTGGCTCGCAGATGTACAGTTACCTTTCATGGCTTCGAGAGGAGTAGCATAGCCTGGGCCGCACTTTCCGCATTTTGTGGCTGTGGAAACAATGGGAGTGTGTTAGCTGGAGCCGCTATGGAACAGTCTCCCTCTCTCCAGCTGTGACGCACACCTGGCAGCCTCACCACGTTGGCCTCTCCATTCCCACCCCCAGCTCTGATGGGTGTGAAGCTGTGGTGGGAGAGTGGAGTCACATGACTGGAACAGACACTCTGGCAGGGGTGGCAAGCGTTTGGACAGAGGCTGTGTGCCTAAGAGTTATGACATGGACTTCTATTCTGTCTCAGCCCACCTGGCTGGTCATAGGAACGTGGACAAATTATCTAGCTCAGTTTCCACTTCATCTGTGATAAGCAGGTAACGAGAGGCACAGTGGGCTGGGCGTTGTGACCACATCTATAGGGGCAAAAGCAGGAGGGACAGGAGTTCAAGACTAGCCTTGATATGCAGCAGAAATCTGAGTAGGGGCAAATGCCCTTAACCCCAGCACTGGAGAGGCAGAGGCAGGCAGATGTCTTTGAGTTCAAGGCCAGCCTGGTCTACATTGTCTTGGGGCAGCCAGGGATACACAGAGACCCTTTCTCAAAACAACAAACAGAAAAAACTGATTTAGGGCAGCTCTAGGAGCAATGGCTCAATGATTATGTCCCCACCAGGCCACCCACATTCACCTGGACCGTCAGCTCTGGGGAGGTCAGATGCCTCTGACCCCTGTGCGCAACTTTACTCAACAGCATGCACCCACACCCAGACTTACGCAATAATTAAAACTAAAATAAATCCTAAAGAAAACAAAAGTATCCAAAGACCAACAGCTGGGGGATGCTGCTCACTGGTAGAGGGTTGCTTGACACTGAAAGGCCTTGGGTTCAATGCTCAACCTGACAAATCAATAAAACAACAGACAAAATCCCCAAGGGGCCTTTGTGGGCAGTCTTCCTGATGTCTGTCCTTGAGGAAGAGCTCCCAGGGAATGGGACTGGCAGTAAACGCCGCCAAATTTATCCAGGCCAGGGCTTGGGACTTCCTGTGTGCAGTCCTAGGTCCTGAGCCAAACTGCTGCTGGCCACACCCGGGATTATGCAACCAATCCAGATGAGGGGAGAAGCCCCGGTGTTTGGGGTGTTTGGTTGAGACTGATAACCAGCTGCGTGTCCTTGGGCACTTGCCTAGACACCACAGCTGGCTGGAGAGGCCCTCCTGACCCTCCAGTCACCACATTCACAAGACAGCCACCAGGATTCCAGGCTGAGAGCCTGGGCCAGACCTTGGAGGACTGGAACAGGGAAGGGGCTGATGCAGATGGAAAGAAATCCTGGCGTGGAGTTCACAAGACCCAGGGCCACAAGCAGAGGCAGGCGAAGGCTGGAGAGATGGCTCAGCAGTTAAGGCAATGGCTGCTCCTAGAGAACCCAGATTTGAGTCTAGCACCCATGTGGTGCCTAAGAACTGTAACTGCAGCTCCAGGGCGTCTGCACCCTCTCTGGCCTCCTGGGCATATAGCATACATGTGTGTACATCGATGCCAGACACACAACATCAACACTAAGAAAACAGTGAGAAAGCAGTCACGTCCAGAGCAAAGCCTGGGAGCCCCACGTCTGGAGAGCACAGGAGGTAGGGAGGCAGCGACAGCACCGTAGAATCCAGAAACTGGGCGTCATCTGGAAATTCTTGCCATGTAGCTCAGATTGACCTCCAACTCACCAAGATCCTTCTGCCTCAGCCTCCTGAGTACTGGGAGATGGGCATGTTTGGGGGTAAAGAGAATCAATAAAAAGCATATTTGAAGTCCAGCACTCCTGAGGCAGAGGCAGGAGGATTTCTCTGAGTTCAAGGTCAGCCTGATCTACATAAGGAATCCCACACTCAAAAACCCACAACACAAACAAAACCCCAACAAAACAACAACAATAATAGGGGAGCTCGTTTGGGGACTGGACAGGTGGCTCAGGGGTTAAGAGCATTTGCTGTTCTTGCAGAGGACCAGAATATGATTCTTAGCACCCACATGGCACTCACAACTGTCTGCCACCTGGCCTCCATGGGCACGAGACACGCCTGTGCTGTACATATATACACATGGGCAAACACTCATAAAATAACAACATTTTAAAAGAGGAAAGACATGGAGGAGGGTTGCCCCGCTATCCCAGGGTTTGGCTCCAGGCTGCTAGGTTGTCTTTCTTTGTAGGACATCCTCCAGTCCTAAGCATCTCCAGCAAGGTCTCTGGCATTCTGAGTTTGGGGAACTCAGGGAAGTTTTCTCTGACATTGGGAAGAGCCAGCTACAGGGGACCTCAGTGTTCCCTCCCAAACCCAAGCCTCAGCCTGACTGCAGGAGCTCACAGGCTAAAGGACAGAGCGGTGGGACTTGGGAGGGGCTGAAGCAGGTCCTCGGTGGCCACCCTGACCTCCCCACGCACTGGTGAAATGGAGCAGCTTGAGATGTCTGGGCTGGGAAGCTGTTCTGTGCCTCCCCAGCAAGAGACAGACCCAGTGTCTGTTTGCTAGGGTGACAGATATTGTCACGGAGATGTTGGGGCTCTTCCCAAGAATCCCCACTCCCACTTGAGTTTCTAAGTTAGAAAGACGCTCCCCTGCCCCTGTCCCCTGTCCCTGCCCCTGTCTCTGTCTCTTGCTGCTGCCCCCACCCCCCACCCTTGTCTGCTGCCCCCGCCCCCCACCCCTGTCTCTGCAGAGGCTGGGCAGGACTCCCAGACGACCACTTCTGCAGTTCCTCCCTGCTCCTTCCTCAGAACTTGAACTGGACTGAGAAGCAGGAATGCCCCAGTTTGAGCTGCGTATGCGCATGCCTACAGGGTAGAGATGAGAGTCCACTTCTTTCTTCACTGCCCTCTCCAGTTTTGAGTCATTTCCTGGAGGAAGGAGGACCCTCTAATCTTGGGGTGAACTATCCACGGCTTTGAGGAGCCCCTTTTCTTACCCATGCTGTTGGCTGACACTCTGGTCCTGCAGGATTTGCCAGGAATGGGCAGAGCTTGCCAGAGACCAGTGCTGGTGTTGGAGGCAGACTGCACAGGGAAGGGGCAAAGGCAGGGAATTTATGCAACCAATTGGAGGAGAGGTGGGGCAAGGGGAGGGACCTGGCTGCCATCCAGGGTAAACTACACAGGGCTGCTGGCCAGGATGTTATCAAGTGGCCTGGCCATTCAAGTTATAGGGTATGTGAGTGTGAGTGTGTGTGTGTGTGTGTGTGTGTACACACATAAATACATCCGTGCCGTTAGTGGGTACTTACATATGTGTTAAGTTTGTGTGCCTGTGTAACATTCTCCTGTGGGTTCCCATGCATGTACCTTTATGTTGGTGTCTGCGTGGGTGTGAGTTGGTGTGTGCCTGTGTCTGGATGTGTACATGCTTGTGTGTGTCCACATGAGCAGATACCATGTGAGAGACGTGTTTCTATGTCTGCAGTCACATGTTCCCGTGCTTTCAAATGCTCGTCTATGTGTTTGGTCCTGTCTGTTGACATTTTGTGGTACCCAGGGCTGTGGACTTGTTTGTTCCTACTTCTGCATCCAAGGCCAGATTTCTCTCAAGATTTCCCTCTTTGTCCAGACGTCCATGCTCCAAAAGGCACATTCTTGCTCACCCAGACCCCTCACCCATGTCTTTTCGCAGCAGCTGCCCAACAGAGCCCAGGTGGGAGGGAGAGCCTAGGTTCCACTTTTCCCAGAACTGCTCCTGAGCCTTGAGCTTAGCAGCGGGAGAAAGCCCAGTGGCTGTTATAACCGCCAATTACCCTCTTAACCTCAGGAGGTGAAAGTGGACTTCCTCCCACCAGTCTGAGGCAGTGTCCTCTGGGAGCTGGATGCGGAGTCAGAAAGAGGTCACCAGATGCTGCTGTCCCCAACTGGCCTGTGACCGAAAACACTCTGGGATCCTTCCTGTCGTGGAGTGGGTGGGTCCTCTAGCTTGAAGTGCAAGTGTCTACTTCGGTAGTTAAGCCTGCGGCTGTGACATGCAAGGGACAGGCACCCCACCTTGCTTGCTGAGGAGCTCTTTATGGCTAAAGAGGTCTCCTGCACTGTGAGGGCTCCCTTCTAAACTCCAGATTAGGCTCAAACCACACCCAAACACCTGTTTGCACAGAGAGATCCTTTATTAAGTGGGAAGAAAGTTAGTGTCTGCCTTCAGTCTCAGGCAGGGTCATTGTCTGGCAGGTCTCATTCTGTTTTTTTTTTGGGGGGGGGGGGGGTATATTTTCTTTGGTATGTTTTATTAATTTTTTCCCATTTATTTTACATATCAACCCCAATTTCGCCTCCCATTCCCTCCCCCAACTCCCCTTCTACCTCCCATCCATTTCTCCTCCATGTTATGAGAGGACCCTTTGAGGGTTAGGGAGAAAGCTGTTGCCAGGGAAACTCCCAGGAATCCACAATGATGGCCCCAGCATAGTGGAGAGGGTGCCTGAACTAGCCTTCTCCTGTAATCAAACTGGTGAACATCCCATGGGAGGCCTTACGAAGAGAGAAAGGGTCTGTGTTAGAACAGGCCAGGATGTTGTTGTAAATGAGACGGGATAAGTGAGAAGGGAAGGGGAAAAGGGAAAGGGTAGGGATATCTGTGCAGAGCTCAAGTGGGCTAGTGTCCCATCAATGGCTCCTCAAGGTAACTTTGATGTCTGAGTCTGTATCCCCTTCTAGGGCTGCCCTCTATCTTGGAAAGTTGTGTTAGGGTCCATCCTCTGACTCAAAGCAAGCTTTATTGTCAGATGTGATCATTCTTTTTGTCTAAATAAAAAGGGAAAGTTTTAACTCTAACATACTAAAATTATATACAATAATAACAATTATCATGTAAGAATTACATTCACAATGTCCAGTCCATTTGTATTTGGCAAATTCAGAGAAAATACTCCATTATCTATCCTGTCTTGATGAGTTACTGCCTATCCTAACTTGTATCACCAACCCAAAACTATCCTTTTATGTCTCTCAACCATATACATTCTGTACCTCTTTTGTGAGTTTCTTTTCTGAATTTGATAACATGGAAAACTATAACTATCTAGTCTTCCACTCCATCAGAGACCTAAGAAGGATATATAATATTACCTGAGTAAACAAGAAGTGCACAGCCAAAAACTTCTAAAACTAAGAAATGTCAGACAGCTGGCTGCCTGGACAGTCATCTAAGGTTCCTCTGTAACATTGGGGAATTTATCTTTGGCTTATAGACCTAGAATATCTGACAGACTTTTCTGTGAAGCAGGAATTTTGTAGGACTGTCCTGTCTTGCCTTGGTAATATTTGGCAGTGGCTTTCTTTTGTGTCCTGCTTATCCGATTTGGACAGCATACTGACAGCAGTCGAGGCAAGGGCAGTTTCTTGCCCAGGGGATAGCTTTTGCCACAAAGAAAGTAAACTCCATATGGAGTTTCTTTGATGCTTAACACCTTCTCTGAAGTAGATTGGTGCTGCCAGGAGCACAAATGTCTCATTGTTATGAAAAGCCTTATATTATTAAAACATCCTAAATGCCATATTCTTTAGAATTCTGGTGTTTGAAGACCACCTGTCTATCTAAAATATATCTCTGTTTGACCTTGAAAGCATACCTAACATGACTACAAGTTTGATTGTAGTAAATGGCTATCAACCTGCATTTTATTATTATCCATAATACTTTGTAATAATAACTTTCAAGAACTAGAAATTTACGTTACATTGTCAAATGAGATACAGAGACTTAATAACTTAAACAAGAGTAGAAACATATGTACAGCATGTTATAACAAAAATAACCTCAACTCTATATCAATATACAAAATATCTTAAATGAGAGTAAAAACATATATACAGTATGACAAAAATAACCTTAAATTTGTATTAATATACAAAAATTCACACCAACATAAAATATTTAAGGCTAGTAGTTTTTTTAGAATATTCAGTAATCTACTCTTTTATCCTATCATTTCTATATCCCCCTTTTTCTTTTCAGAACAAGATCCCTGAATCTAAACTCCTTTATTCAGCTTTTTTTCTGATGATAACCAATAATAACTTGTAACCAACCCCCCTAAAAGTATTCATAGCCCACTGAATGACCAAAAACCACTCACCCCACATCTTGGGAATGTGGGGATAGTGTTCTCTAGACTGCTTCCTCTTTTATCAGGGTGACAGCATCTCTAGGGGACCCTGAGAAAATTGAGATAATGGTCAAGGAATGAGAGAGCTATCTGTATCATTTGTGGCCAGTCTCTGTGTAATGGGAAAGGGCAGTCCTGGCTGGAGTAGCACATGATAGGGAACCATCTCAGCTAGCCACCTTGAAACTGTCCTGAGCAGTTTGAACTCCGAAGCTGATTTTTGCATGATGTTTGTCAGCTTAGTGGCGTTACCATAGTCCAGGTGGAATCATTGTTGTGGGGACCCATCGTCCTTTCGGAGACTTCAAAGGTTGCTGTTAGGCGTGGGTCATGGTTCACAGCAGAAAACTTAAACATTTGAAGTGTCATATGCAGCAGATCTCAGAGAGGTTAAAGGACCACAACTTGCTCAGTATATTTGGAGTACACAAACTTAATTCCTACAATAATACCCAATAGAGACTCAAACTAAAATCATGTACAGGAAGCTAGATGAAGCCTTTTTCTAGAATTAGTACTCTATTTGACCACTAATGGTCATGACAGAACATTTAATATTTAATATATGTATTTGATGGAGGAAGGTCATTGGTTAAGTAAACTGCCTTGGCCCTGATAGGTAAGAACATAGGTGGGTGGAGTAAACAGAACAGAATGCTGGGAGGAAGAGGAAGTGAGGTCAGAAATCATGCAGCTCCTCTCAGAGCCAGACGCCATGGAGCAAGCTGCCAGGTCAGACATGCTGAATCTTTCCCGGTAAGACCGGTGTTATGTAGATTATTAGAAATGGGTTAGGCAAAATATGAGAATTAGCCCGTAAGAGGCTAAAGCTAGTGGGCCAAGCAATGTTTAAAAGAATACAATGTCCGTGTAATTATTTCGGGGCATAAGCTAGCCAGGCGGCTGGGGTGCTGGGGACGCAGCCCTGCCGCTCATATTTCAACATGTATTGATTTTATAAATTTTGAGAAATATTTATAACTTAAAAAAATTGAGAGTCAAAATAAAACCAAGGGATTATAAGATTACTGGCAATAGAATAGTCTCTTAATTTTGTTTTTTTTTTTTCTTCTGTCACATAACAGGTGGTTCTTCTGACATGAGACAGAGATTTTGGATTTTCCTTTAACAAGCTTGAGTTTAGAGGAGAGAATCATACTATTAACTCCAAAATCAGCTTTAATTTTTAATTGAACTGGGGTTACAAAAGACCATTTGCCTTATATGTATGTAGAGAATAGCAAAAACAAACATTTGGGAAGATGTATGAAATTTTTTCCTTTTGGAAATGTGATATATCATTAACTCATTTTATTCTTTTTCTTGGAACATTTTTCTTTGGATAATTTATCCTTCTTCTTCAGATGTCTTATTTGTCCAGTAGTCATCAGATTCCTTACTTGGATGTTTTTATTCTTCTGGAAAAACAAAAACAAAACCCTGCTCCAACCCTAACTTTGAGGAGTTTCCTTTTGGGCAGGTTCTATCTGATCAAATAAAAGGCATTTGTTAGCCATATAGTTAGTTTACATTGAACGGTCACGCTGTTTGATGAACTATTACCTCTTCTAATCAAGGTGTCTCTCCTGTTCTAATCTAATCTTCATCAATTTTGATGGTATCCATAGCTTTTCTTCTCCTGTGGAAACAAAAGCAAAACCTCTACCCCAAGGTAACACATATCCTGGTTTCCATTCTGAGGTTGACACATCTTTAAAGTACACAGGCTGAGTTAACTCAGCAGTTCTCTGTTATCCAATGTCTCTCCAAAGCTTTCATTCCTTTCTCATTATCACTTTGATAATGTAAAGTTAATAAAGCATTGTACAATCTATCTCTGGGGGTCTTTATTACCTCTTTCTGTTTATTAGCATATCTTTTAAAATGCAATTAGATCTTTCTACAACTGTTTGCCCTGTAGAATTGTATA